CGCGGTGAAATAGATCAACCATTCTCTTTGATTTCCCAACATTATTCACTAATCATCAATATTTTCACTTCAGGTGATAAATAGTTCAAACAAAGAGATACATTGATGGGAAATGGACAGTGCGTCTGGCGTTGATCAATCCTTTATGGATGTGCTTTGCATCCGACTACAGGGATCATCGTAGAGGAGAATGAATGCATATTTGAGTTACATAATGACTTGCGAAATCTTATCAGTGTATCAAATCAGTAAGGATTTTAGGACATGAGCAAAACTCGGCACGTCAGATGGGCCTCGTACCCTCGGGGCTCAGTTGCTGTTATTGGGTCACAGGTGACCCCTATAAAGCGGTCTCGAAGTTCAATTCAGGTCCTGAGTTTTGCTCACATCTCAACATCTTTGTGGTTTTATTGCACATCGTACCGTGCCATGAAAAGAGAATAGGAAAGTCAGAACATCATCAAACCAGTGCTCTATGTTCTCGAACAAGCGTTTTTATCCTAGAGTGCTGGATAGAATCAACGGCCATGTGTGTATTGCAAGATATCCATGGTCTCTACGGCATCTGCACCCTCAAATGATAAATTAGAAAAAACGACAAAGGTGTCCACAGATGGACGTCTCCACATCTTGCTAGCATTTCAGTCCAGGACACTCTGATATGTATTGGACTTGGAGATACTGATATTGGAGAAGAAACGAAAATCGATGTGAACATGATAGATCGCTTGAAAAGTTCTCCATTCATATGTCAATAGGGAGATATAGTTATTCTTAAGAAAATACGAAAGCCATGAAAAAATACTGTAGTAAATTAATAAGTAAGATACAAACTTTCTGCACTTACGAGGTCGTGTTCATGCATACGTGCGTGGGTGTGTTCTCGTTTGTGCGGATTGTACTTTACGAGTCAGTTCGGGCAAAAGCTAGCAACCAAGTGAGAACAAAGTACGTGGGAGTTAGGAGTCGCCTCCAACAAATAAACTCCATGTCCACTCTGGTAGTGAGTGGCAAGCTACACTTGAGCATACCCATCACCCACATTCACAGCTCAACAAGTTATACGTGGTTACCAAAAAGCTAAAAACAGTAAAATAAACGGGCCTCATTCCCGGACCCCGAAAGAGCCCCGATTGGCAGCGTTGGGTATGACGAGTATGGAGAAGCTGCTAAAACCACAAGGACATATTTTAAGCTGCCTAAATCGTGAATGATAAAGGTAACGATCTGTGCCTACAATGCACACAAGCTTGCATCTGAGTTCTCGATAAAAAACTTGTTCACGCAACCAGGAAGGATAAGGTACGACGTCGTCGGACTGCCCCAGACAACACGACAGCACCCATTCAATGCCGTCTATGGCACCGGAGAGGAACCCTTCCTCGGAGCATGCGCTAGAGGAGTAGGCGGCATCGGTCTTCACGTTAACATGAGTTTTTTCATGAACATCGATTCATTCGAACAACTAACAACCCGAATCGGAGGTTTACGATTGAAGAGGTTGGAGCAACACCGGTATTGACATTTTAGGCGTTTGCACACCAACATGGAGCTATGGCGAAGAAGAAGTCGATGCGTTCTATGTGGACTTGGAGAAATTCTACAAAGAAGACCATAGCTTCTTCAAGGTCATTATTGGAGATTTTAACACTAAGACAACCCAAAAGAACGTTTGAAGAACGTCACACTGGCATCCACGGGCTAGAATGGAACGACTACGGTGAGCGGCTATCTGAGTCTATCATGATGGCCAAGACCAATCACGGAAACTCGCAATTCCAGAAGCCTCACCTTCAACGCTGGAAGTGGGAGTCTTCCAGTGGAGAGTACTTTAACGAAATGGGCCACACCATAATAAATCGAAGGTTTTGTCTTACCGATGTCGCTGTTGTCCAAAATTCCACACGAGGTTAGAGCATCGCCTCCTTTGTGTAAGATTTTCCTTCTCGTGAAAAGGAGAAAAAACCGCCAAATTCAAAAAAAACGAAGTCCAAAAGCCACCGTAATCTGGGACTTATTCAATTCAGTAGTCGGCTGTTGGAAAAACGCCCGTTCTCGATAACATCGACGAACAGTACCATCGGCTTATTCAACACCTTCACACTAGCGCTTTGAAAGCTGAGAGTTCGAACATCACCAATGGACGTTTGTCTCAAAAAACACTGGAGATGATATGCCGGCGTGGAATAGCACGGGCTGCAGGGAACCGCCAAGTCACGTCCGAATTTGCATAACAACGCAGACAAGCGATAGAAGATCTCAAAGCAGAAGAGCAGCAGTTATGGTCGAAGCTGCAGAGGTTGGGAAAAGCATTCGCAAAGTCCACCGATGCTTAGCCAATTACAATACCAAGGTGATTGCATTACGGCGCCCAGACGAAGCAGTTACAGCGCCCAGAAAGGTAATGAAGAAAATTATTCACGACTGCTAGTCAGATCTCTTAAATAGCTACGTCCACCTACCGTCATATGAAATAAAGGAGGATGGATATGTTGTACCACCGGTTCTCCCCTCCGAAATCCGACATGCTATTTTGTCAGTGAGAAATCGAACAGCACCAGTTCCAGAGAGGATAAGATCTGAACATATGGAGAACCACAACGTTGATGAGATATTTGCAAAACTCTGGACCGCAGGTGTCTATGGTGGAGAACGAACGCAGTATTATCCTTTCCGGGGAGTAACGCGTTCACCACCACACCACGCGGGTCCTTCGTTTCGCCTGTCTCTCAGCTATTTCTATCGATCTTTTTGCCACAGCAATCACCCGTCAGCGGGGTTGATCTGGGGAGCGCAAATCGGCATAGAACCCAGTTAAGCTATGGCCGTAGTTGAAATCACAATGTTTAACGTTTTGTTTTCTGCCTTCTATAATTTTCATGGCAGGTTACCACCATAGACACCTGCGGTCCAGAGTTTTGCAAATATCTCAGCAACGTTGTGGTTGTATTTCGCTTAGTAACCTGCCATGAAAATTACAGAAGGCAGAAAACAAAACGTTAAACATATGGAGAACCTTCGCCAGTCCTTGCAAATACACTGGTTGGGATCTTCACACGTTGCCTGTCTGAATTAAAGGCCCCCACTCAGCGGAGGACCAGCCCAGACGGCGCCATTGTTCAAGAAGGGTGACGTCCACGATATCGCCGACTATCGCCAAATATGTTTGATGCCTGTCGTATACAAACTTTTCAAGTAATTTTTCGTATTTTTGTTGAGCAAACGCGAGGTGTTATTATTCTTTATTCACGAATAAGCCCACGAATTCCTCAGAGCTTGGAAAGGTCAAGTTGATAGCAATCTACCCGGCCAGACGCCTCCATAACCAAACAAAGAAACTCTAAACCAAGATTTCAATCACACTGAACACAGCTTTGCACACTCACCGCTTTCTATGAGGTTTCTACTACCAGCTCAAATAAGAGGGTTGGCAATGGGATAACGACTGGCTCCAAGCCTTGCCATTGCATTTATGTCTAAGGTGGAAGCGCCGGTGACTGATCTCGGGCCGCTACTCTACTGTAGGTATGTAGACGACTGCTTTGTCCTTTGCTCAACACAAGAGGAAATGGACAAATGTTTCGAGTTGTTAAATGAACAGTCAGAGTATATCAAGTTCACCCGAGAAAAGCCGAAAGAAAAATGGCTTCCATTTTTGGACGTACAAATTCACCTATCAGAAAATGGCTACATTACAGAGTTGCACCGAAAGCCAAGTAGTAAAAACATCTTGGTTCATTACCTCTCCTCTCACCCCTCTCACACGAAAAGGGCGCTTGTAAGAAACATGTTTCCATCAACAACCAGCGTGTGAACGGGAAGAGAGCAGAGAGAGGAGTCCCGCAACTTGGCGCGGCAAATAGCCATTTCTAATGACTACGAAACTGTAGCTCGGGATAGATGTAGGAGAAATCCTAGACTCTCAAACGACAACTCTAGCGATAAGAAAAGGTCCCGTTTATCCTACCCTTCATCTCGAATGATGTAAGTACAGCTATAAAACGCTGCTTAAGAAGGGCGGGCTTAGAGAATTCGGTAAGCGTAGTCGAAATACCACCGAGTAATCTTAAGCGCCAGCTAGTTCGTAACCCAAAATTGCATAATTTGCCCCAGTGGTAGAGACGGTGATTGCATGAGCTCGGGTATAGTTTATCTGATCTCCTGTAAGACGTGTGGTGACGAATACATTGGCGAAACGGGTAGACCCCTCTGTGTCCGCATGAAAGAACACCTAGCCGGCAAAAATAGACCAAATACCCCGCTAGGCACGCATAGGACCCAGAGACATAACGGCGACGACTTCGAAGTATGTGTCACGATCCTCGCACGCGAATCAAGAACACAGGCGCGAAAAACTCTCGAGGCATTCTGGATTAACTCCAGAAATCCGAAAATGAACCGCAGGGAAGAATGCCTCATTATCACGCATGATATAGGGCAGTATATAAAACTGCTTTTCTGATGTGAGGGGCACATTATGCTTCCATGTGATTTCTGTGCGGTTGGTCTCTACGTGACATACTTAGTGGAAACCTCATAGAAAGCGGTGAGTGTGCAAAGCTGTGTTCAACGTGATTGAAATCTTGGTTTAGAGTTTCTTTGTTTGGTTATGGAGGCGTCTGGCCGAGTAGATTGCTATCAACTTGACCTTTCCAGGCTCTGAGGNAAACGTCAGCTTATTCGTGAATAAAGAATAATAACACCTCGCGTTTGCTCAACAAAAATACGAAAAATTACTTGATTAATGCCGAGGTTAATAGAAAGTCGGTCGTGGGAGTTACAAACTTTTCATTTGTGTCGTCCTAAACAGGATTAACACAACACTGGGCAAAGAACAGCTATGTGAGCAACCAGCGTTTCGAAAAGGGCTCAGTTCGATAGACCAAGCCATAACAATACTATCACCATTCTACAACGGTATTAACATCGACGTCAAAAGAGGAGTTAGGTAAGGCGGTACCATCTCTCCAAAATTATTTGCCGCCACCGTCCAGAACGTCATGCGAACATTGGAATGGGATAATATGGGAGTGAAAATCGATGGTCGGCAGTTACACCATTTTCGCTTTGCTGATGACTTCGCTCTTATAACAGCAAACATTAGCCAAGCGGAACGTATGCTTGCCGACTTTGATAAAGCCTGTGGAAAGATTGGTCTTCGACTACATCTTACGAAAACAGTGTTCATGAGGAACGGATTGCTTTCGTATGGCCCATTCACGCTCAACGGAACGAATATACCTGAATACTCCAGTTTCGGGAAATCAATATGATGAACGACTCAGCTCCAGAGTTGAGCAGAAAGAAACGAACGGCTTGGGGAGCTTTCAAGAGCATCGAGGATGTGGTGGAGAGGACAAAGAACACCCGACTCCGTGCCCATCTTTTCGACTCAGCGGTACTTCCTGCCCTAAAGTAGGCGTGAGAAACCTGGCCGCTGCGTAAGCAGGATGAAAGATCACTCAGCGTTATCGAACGCACAGTCGGAAGAACGATGCTAGGAGTATCCCGTTTCACACAAATAAGAGATGGGTTCCGAAGCTCCGACCTGCGTCAACGATCGAAAATCAAAGATGCCGTTCTATACGCCGAACAGTCGAAGATAAAGTGGGTCGGACATGTAATGCGTATGAAGACCGATGGACAAGAGCTGTTAGTAACTGGATTCCTCGGGATGTCAAACGTACTGCAGGAAGACCACTGACCCGATGGTCGGAGTTTTTCACGAAGAGCCTAGAAGAAAGATATGATACTCGACGAGTCACTAGAAGCGAGCATAACCCGTTGGAATATTCTTGCACGCGGCAGAGAAAAATAGAAGGTTTACTGGGGCCCGCTCGAGTCACTCGACGATCAACAGAACTACAGGTGATACAGGTAGTATAAGTGATCGCCGTTTTCTGCCTTTCTTTTTTCGTTTTATCTTTTTTTTTCCTGACAAATTGAATCCTCATTAATGATATCCTCCAATTCACGTATTACCAGCAATCTACGACATTCCTCTAGCAGTAGCCGAGAGAGCAGACGAAATGTTCGACAGCTGAGGACATTTGTGGACGATAAATGTGAGGAAAAGGAATCGAGTGCGAGAAGTGGTGGGAGTGATGACATTTCATCTAATAATAAGTAATGAAATTTCCTACATTAATTAACACGCGTAAGAATGAGGAAGTGGTGCGATATATCACTACTGTTGACCTTCTTTCCCAGAAAATCTACAAATGACTCGGTTGGTTGATGAAGAAAAGGTCGCAAATGCTTCAATGAAGGAAGTGCTTCAGGTTCACAATGGAATCCACCTAACAACTGCATCCTCAAACCAATCTCACCAAGCTGATAATAGAGTTCGACTTCCTGTCTTTCCTCTTCCACATGGCAAACTTCCAAGTGTAATGTTCGCATTCAAAAGCTATCAAGAACGGCTGCAGCGCAGCGGTTAGACGTGGGTTGTAATACTCACGCAGTCGTTGTTTACATCTCGAGCCCAGTTTTATAAAGCCTTCCATCCCTCGGAGGTCGGCAAGCTGGTGCCAGCCTTATTTGTGGATACATAGATAGGTCACCGAAAGTTACTGCATGGACCTTATATGCATTAAGTTTTCTCTAACAACGTTTAGTGAAGTCGAGGTGCATATTAGGGATTAGTCAGAGGTAAAAACCTTTCATGGTAATCAAAAATTATCTCCTAACTGCTGCTGCAACACTCATGGGCAATCTCATACTAGTACATTCCTTGTTGGATTTCAAGAAAGTCTCATGTTTTCCAGGCACAGCCAACGGCAGCTTCCAATCGAACTACTCAACGCACTAATGCGCGAAACCTTCGTCGCAAAGCATCAGAGGAATCGAGTGCCGCTATCTAAACACAGCGCCTGTCTCTTCACTATCTCTTGATCTAAATTTTTATTTAAATTCATTACAGCAATTCGGCGAGAGGATCTGCCGTTGGTAGTTGAGACTGTTATCTGGTTATTTAGTGAGGGTGGATTTGTGAAGGTCTCATATACCGCAAAGTTTTCGTGAATTTACAGTTAATGAAGAACACCTCATGGAATCCAGTTCAGAGTCGTAATTTATGTATTGATGCACATATGTGAAAATTTTATCAGCGATTAACGAGTTGGTGTTAAAGCAAACATGATGTGATTGGATGCAAGAGATTAATAAAAATGGTTATCTTTACAAATACGAGCAGCTGCAAGGTAGTTATGGTGTTCAAGTGAGTTCTGAGCTTTCTGCTACCTTGGCACTACGAACGTGCTTTAAGAACTTCCATAAGAATCAAGATGTTTCTGCGTGTACTAGAAAAGGGATACGAAGCGGTAGGACCAGTGAGGACAAAAGTTGGTATCTCAAAGGCTCGAGTGCATTTCGTTAATACCTATGAGTGGACATTTTTGGGTATTTTTGCAGTTTATTGGAAGTGACTACAACGAAATGGATTATTTGTGGTTTTTCGCTCGTTTTCACCGATGTCAGCTTTTCATTACGGCGTCGACACTGCAGTAATTGCAGGACATTCTCGCGTATCGCCCTGAAACAAGATTTTTTTATGAAAACATCTAAAACGAAAGAAATATTTATGTTTGACGATGTGCTGAAGCAAAATGAAAGATGTTGATAATGAAGAAAAGCTGTTAATGAGTAGAGGCGTGCCAAAATCTAGTGATGAAGTGTGGTTGCGTGACCTCGCTTTGTTTATTGAAATATCGCCTTTACCTTGATAATCATAGATTGGCACTTTATAAGGTGACGACAACTACAGAACAACTGTCGCCTTTTATGGATATAAGACAGTTGGAAGTTCGTGCATCGCTTCTTATCGTTATACAATGCATTACACCAAAATATAGATGCCCTGTTATAACGTGTTTTCAAATATGCCAATGAAAGGCTGGGTTTTTAGCTGCATTTTCTGATAAAAGGCATTATACAAATACTTCTGGCATATAGCTCCGTGGTTAAAGGTTTCCTGCAATATACAAGTGGTCGTCAGTTCCACCTCGAATACTTGGCTCACTAAGCTGTGCATCTTTTCGGGATTTGCAAATTAGTGTCAGAGTTTTCTCGGAGGATAGCTGCACTGACTTAACACCTACAAGGCCCTACAGGTGACTCTATAAGCCAGATATTCATTTAATCATCTGTAAAGATGCTTGATGAAATCGAGTGTATGACGTATCCCCCAAGGACTTTAAGGATTCAACAACGTCGAATGCTTTATCCTTTATCCTTCACTTACTTGCTGAAGCAAATACAAATAAATGCATTTGCGCCGTTATAGAAAAACCACGGCAAATTCATCCAAAAGTAGGCGATCGGATTCGGGCTAAGCGAAGGCTCCACGAATCGCCATAGACAAAAGGTTACCGAGCAAAACACACAGTAGACGAATGCCTTGAATTATTGCAAACTTGGTGAAGAAAACTATCTTTAAGCAAATAGATGGGAAAGAATATGAAGTGCAAATAACATAAGAGGAAATGTCACCTACATTGATGGTGACGACATTTTCCACCTTTTTCGTTATGCCCTATAAAAATTCGCCTTTCGAAAACATTTCTTCCTTTCACGAAGGAAGAGATCAAGAAAATTTTGAAAATGTCGAAATATTTTAAAAACATTGGGCAGACCTTGGTCTCAATAGTGTAGAAAATCATCGAATAACACACAAACGAGCACAAAATAAACGGAACAACTGAGTAGTCATCTGAAGTCTAACATAATTAATAAAAATTGGGAACGAAATCAATAATAAAAGCAATTTTGGCCCAACTCCGTAGAGCCTAGGAATCCCTACAGTTTTGACGAATTGTTCTGATGCCTAAGGTGCCCAGCTTCTGCCTCAATTGACTAATTTTTTCAAAAAAAACATTTCCGGGCACTGTTGAGGTTTTTATAAAGAACTGTAAGAGTCTTCCCTACCAATGACAGAGGATATCTCGCCCAGAACAAATGATTTGTCATAGTGCCACGAAAATAATTCCAGATGAAATTTATACCGAAGGGGACCAATCCACTTTAAAATAATGAAGAACGGAATCGTTGAATGAGCGAAAGAAAAAATTGTCTGAAAATATTGATAATGAGTGAGGAAGGAAGTTGAATATGCTGGCGACCAACCGTTTTGCTTCTTCCAGTGAAGTATCTCAGTTCGTAGAGAGGATACACTACACTGAATAGTCGATGTACGGCAAGCAGTATACCGTAAATGCTTGACGAAATCCAGGCACCACTCATTATGGAGCCAATAAACTGAAATCATTTCAAACATAAGACTTTTAGAGACTGAAGTTTCGGGAGGCGTGTATTGCAGTGGTTAGAGGTGCTCTGCAATACACACGGTGTCCCTGGTTCGATACCCCGCCACGGGCTGACAAAGCCTTCCATTCCTCGAGGTCGCAAATTGGTGTCAAATTTGCCTCGCAGGATAGCAGCACTGAGTTGCTAATTTAGGAGAACAATCTGATTCATTGTATAGGTCAGATGTGCACTTGATAAACTGCGACTATGCTTAATAAAGTCGAATACACAGCGCATTTTCTTGTTCAGCAATCGCGAGGTTTTTAAACAGCATACATTTACTTCCATAGAGAAACACAATACAATACAACGCTAGCTAACGTTTCGGCGGTATCGCCTTCTTCAGAGCCTGGAAGGGTATACTGATATACATTCTACTAGGCCAAACGCTTCAATGACACTTACAAAAAGACGAAAGACTCTTTGGTAATTACACGATCAACAACTTCTCGAAAAACCCACCGCTTTTTCGTGACTTCCAATGAGGAAGTTTAGAACAGCTGATTATAGTCGCATGTGGTTGACGACTGCACCATCCCACATCAAAAATCGATGCGAACGTACGGGATCAGGTCGCGTATGACCTCCGGGCATTCGTCCCTGCTATTCATTGTAGGGTTTTTGGCATTTATCCAAAAAGCCTCAAGGAGTTTTCGCGCTGGTGTTTTGGACTCCTGTGCAAGTATAGGATAGGCACGCATAGGATACAAAAGCATAGCGGAGACGATTTTGAAGTAAAAGTCAATATCCTTGCACAGGAGTCCAAAACACCAGCGCGAAAACTCCTTGAGGCTTTTTGGATCAATGCCAAAAACCCTACAGTCACGAAAAAGCGGTGGGTTTTTCGAGAAGTTGTTGATCGTGTAATTACCAAAGAGTCTTTCGTCTTTTTGTAAGTGTCATTGAAGCGTTTGGCCTAGTAGAATGTATATCAGTATACCCTTCCAAGCTCTGAAGAAGGCGATACTGACGAAACGTCAGCTAGCGTTGTATTGTATTGTGCTTTTCTATGGAAGTAAATGTATGCGGTTTAAAAACCTTGCGATTGCTGAACAAGAAAACGACACATTTACTCACTATGTTCAATAGATATGGCATTTCCCACTCCAACATCAGTGACACTCCACTGCATACGTGTCCTGTGAGCTGTGCGATATCGCAAAGTGATATGAAGAAAATGATCTGGTACGACATCCACTTTGGGAAGTTCTCATGAAGTCGGATTGCCTTTAACAGATCGTTGACTGCGGTAGATAGTATGATACAAAGAGAATACGAAGATGGGGTAAAACTTACTACGACAGTAAGTATGTCCAGCGTCAGAAATGACGTAGCTAACACGGTATTCACGAGACCGTACCAAAATGGTGGATTGTACGTAGAGTCGAACTTGTCGCCGAATTGCTCACCCTCCATCTACAATTTGTTTTCCTCCTTTTTGAAATAGTTTCATTCGGACATTCAATTAATCAGCCGTATTCATCTCTCGTAATTTCGTTATAAAGACAATTGAACGAAGATTTAATAGGAAAAGTGGGAGCGAGGATGTGGGGATAAAGGTGAATAGCATAGAATGACGGTGAGAAGTTGTTAATAATAGAGCACAACTTCATCTCTGACAGTCACTTCAGTTGTCTGAAGCTTATTTCCTGAAAAACATCCATATAGCAGCTAAGTATCCAGTAAACGCTGGGAAACACAAGTGAGAGCAAAAAGAACAATAACTAACTTTTGAATGATATTGACAGGTTTAAATGGTGATCATGATCCTGACTGCACAACGTAATTATTCACACTATTAGTATTCGAACTCAACGAGTACAGTTGTTAAAGAGTGAAGCGGAAAGAGGATTTGGCTTCATTAGTTTGGTGAGGATCTTGATGACGTAGTCGAGCACTGGAAGTAAACTAAGCAGGCGAAATTTTTTAAGCTTTTATTCCTTTCTCTTCAACGGTTAGGCACTTCCTGGAAGTGGAATTGCAACATCGTGTTCGGAGAGGATCGCCACTCATACTGAAGCCTAACTAAGAGTAAGCCAGTGTGAGCAGAGTTCATTTGAGCAGAATCCCGCCCGAGTAGTAAATCACAAGAGAAATCGGAAGCGTGCACTCACGACTCTCCAAGCTCCATTGAGGCGGGGCTACAATAGGGAAATAGGGACGTGCTTCTGCTGTCAGGAATTTTTATAGATGTTGGGATATTTTGTTCATTACGTTGTTCGACCGTATCTATCCATTATGTACTACGAAAGAGAAACATTATTAAGACGTGATTTAAATTATCTACTTTGGAACAAAGCGGGTGAGGTGCAGTGGTCGGAGGCGCCCTGAAACACACACATGGGATCGACCCCAACGCCCGTGGCTCACCAAGCCTTCCATTACCCTGGGTTAGGCAAATTGGTACCAGACTTTTCTGGGAAAACAGCAGTACTGGCTCGATGCATCGATAGGTCACCGCGAGTCGTTGTAAAGGCCAGATATGCATTCGATCACCTCCAAACGATGCTTACGAAGTCGAATGCATGGCGCATCCCTCAGGGATAGATCAACGCCGAGAGCTTTATTCCTTATTCTTTACTTAAATTGGAATAGGGATATTCTACATGTGAACAGATGTCATTTCCGTCAAACGTAAATTATTTACTATTACGTAATTTGTAGCGAGAACGAAATGCGAAAGACCCATTGCGAAAATGACTCAAAAACAAAGACATTACTAACAAATGCTTAATAGAAGAAGGCATGGGTTGGGAGTAGCGCAGCGAATAGTGGTGCAGTCGATCACGGATTAAGGTTCTCCTTCGACTCCCTTCCCACCGCTCTCCTCCAATCCAACGTGCGAACGCCTTAGCCCGGCTCTATCCAAAATTGTAAGGTGAATCGACTCCACCCAAATTCTACGGAATTCGTAATGAAGACAAAGTCCTCAAGCAGCAGCAGAAGAACACGCGAGATGCTCGACGACTTTTTTGGGCAATAAATGCGAGGAAAATGAATCGCGTGCAAGAAGTGCTGAGATTCGCAAAGTAGATTCGATGTCTGGTCGTATAAAATAAGAAAAGCAAAGGAAATTGCTGCTATGAAAACGATAAGCATCGATGAGATGGTAGAGTGAGGTAACAGTTAAATGCTGCTGTATAATGCTTACATGCGGCTTGTATTTCGAATTTAGATTTTGCAGAAAACAGCCAAATGAAAGGATTGGTAGAATTAAACATAGGACCAGAAGAAGGCATGGAGAAGACCTCATTGAGATTCACAGACAACAGCGCTCCGAAATCCAACGAGCAAATAATGGGAGCCAAAACTTCCGTGGAAGGATAAAATATGTGAACCCTTTATGGTGGTCTCGTGTCTTGCCACAAAAACTCGTCTGTAAAAATGACCAATCTTCATGTTGTATTTAGTCTGCAAGAACATTATTCTAATTCTCTTCAGCATGAGTGGCGGAATGTGGTACGATGAACAGTTACGATATTAAGCAAAGACAGAATGAAATTCCATAAAACAAATGAGAAAGTCAGGCAAACATTTGAGAGTGTAAGGAGAACACCGGAACAGTGTGGTAACTATGGCTTACGGTAAGGAGGCGTGAAGCTTTGCCTGTGACCAAGCGAATTACTTGGCAGCCAAGAACACGTATAAAGATCACATTTAATTAAGTGGTAGATTAGTGGAATAAGGACAGAGGTAACCTCTTTTTGCAATGGATAGCTGAATGATATCTTCGCATCGTCATTGGCCAATGTTTGCATAGTGGGAATTGTGTCGAGTATCTTCTAGGCGGACGTTTTAAGGAAAAAGTGCACCTGTACGAAAACATAAAGTGGTAATGGTTCAAAAAGTGATGATGGCGATTCAATTTATATGTAATATGAATGTATATGTTGGATAATTTGACTTACCTTCCACTGATGATTCTCTCTTATGTTAGATAGTGTAATAAGAGGGCTTCCTCCCAACGGTTTACTGCCTCATCGTGACCGGGAGGTATTCCTGGGTGTCGGACTGCGATGTACAGCGGGGAATTCGTCTTCCCGGCAGGGTCTCTCAAGCTGAGAAGGAGTCCGGCGTTTCCATTAGGAAGCCTAGCCAAGAGTAAACCAATACCAGGATCCAGCACCGGCTTGGTATCAAAGTCGCACGGTTGCACATCTCCCTCTGATCCATAAGGACTGCGACTGGCTGTCGTGGTGAAGACCTTGGGCAGACTTTGGCCAAGCTGTCGTTGGGATTCCAGGGAACCACAATGGCTTAACCAGCAAGTCTCCGAAAAATGGTGATTATGCTGGAGCCCGTACAACTAGTGAGGACGGGCCGTTCAAATATCAAGTATCAAGTAATAAGAGTAGGCTCGATTTTTCTTTGAAGTGATGAGATGAAATATTGCATATGGCGATACCTCGGCTTTGTGAAAATGTAGGGATCTTTATACGCTAGTATGTATCGTTCAGGTTTTTTGTTGGACCATTTCAGCTACTGCATCTGGGTGTCGAATCTCTGGTTGAATCTGTCAGCATGACATTCTGAATTAAATATCTGCTCCACGCAAGTCGAATTATCAACATGGAGAGTAGCGTCTGGTACATCGCAGTACGTCTTTAAGTGAAAACGTCAATGTCGTACCCTAGCAAAAGAAAACGTTTTCGGCTTCGATTAATCCCTGAGTGGTGGCATTTGATTCATACATTCAGTATTGTACAGATGACTTAATGCATATTTTGCATGTACGATGATTTACGAGTGCCTATCAATGTCAAATTGGTATCGTCCTTTCCTCCTTCTGCATAAGTCTGAAGCAGAGTCGAGAGATATTAGAGAGCTTAGTTAAGCAAATAAAAGATTAAACCAAGGCGCACTGTAGAGCGCTTTTAACCACTGTGCTGCATGCGGCTGACTTTTGGTGGAATACATTTACTACTGAGAAACACTTATTCGTCATGGTTAGCACTTGTAATGGGAAGTAAGAGTTCAAATCCAGAGAGTGGTACGTGGAAACGCTTACCACATTCAGTGATAAGAGCTGCCACAAGGTACAATCTTCATTTGTAATCTCGTTATAAAAGCTAAAACAAAAAAACTTAATCCTTAATCCACTTGTTTGGCCGCTTTGTATATTTTACTAAAACCTTTTACCAGACTTATAAGAGGAGAGATCTTGTTGCCGAGAGCCGATGTGATTTCAACCCCGTGAATATAAATCGTCGATGACGTAATCGTGATGACGATGATGATCGTAAAAATGCTTGCACTTTGTTTTAGGCCTAAGCCAATTTCGCGACAGTTTAAGCATTCTGAAACATCCAAGCAAATTATAGTAGCCAGAAGAAATACTTGCTGCCGCAGTGATAACGCTAGACAGATAACGCCCTTAGCTTTGATCAATCCGTGAGGGATGCACCACACGTTCGTCTTCTTAGGTATCGTTGGAGGTGACTGAATGCATAACTGGTTTTTACAATGACTTGATGTGATCTGTCGATGTATCGAGCTAGTGCTGCCGTCCCCTCAAACAAGTCTGCTACTAATTTTTCGACCCCGGCGGGATGAAAGGCTTGGTGAGCCACGGGCGCGAAGCTCGATCCCAAGTGTGTGGCACAGGCGCCTACGACCACTGCCAGTCGTGATATGAATGAAAAAACGACTTCGTTTCTGTTCAGTGTTTTTAGAAAGTGAAAAAAATATTATTTAGAGAGTTGCGTGAGAACAGTTTCTTACAACTCACTAAACATAAAATCGAAAACCGCAGAAACAAGGCATAAGTGAAAACTTTTCGCTAACAAACTCACAATATACGCAACACATGGCAGCGTTCTCCCTGTAGCAGCCAGCCACTACTATTCCATATTTCAGGTTTCTAGAAAAATTGTCTCGCTCAGCATTTGGCAACATTTCTAAGGAATACCTAAAATCCTCAAGCAGAGGCTGAACCCACGTACAAGATTCTAAGCACTTCGAAGGCGATGGATGCGAAGCGAATCGGATGGTGAAGTCCTTGGATCAGCACAACATATCACGCTAGGTGTGAGGTGTAAATAGAAAAATCCGGTGTCGTAATCTCAATGATGCAGACTGAATTGTGGAAAAGAACAACGATGAGTACGTACTATAAGAGTTCTGACCACAGAGATTCGAAAAGACTCATCTTCATATTTGATGAACGAGTTCTGTTATCCCCGGCACTGTTTGGCTACAAGAAGTGGTTCATTGATTCTTTTTATATTATCATCTTTTATTATTTGTTGTTTCCTGCGAAATAATTCCACATTTTTTGTTCTTTTCCTTTCAAACTGGCGTTTACTGGTCTGCTGCTAGGATGAAGGAGAAGTGCAAAAGGTGTCTTGCAAGATAACCGAACTCAAATGCTCTATTCAACATCAACTCTCTGTAGTGAATAAAATTTAATGAACCGCGCGGACAATTATTTCTCTTCAGTTTGGCCAGAAACTTTTACTCAACTAGTATTTATAATGGAGGCAGTCTTTAATGAGTTCTAACGATGCCTAATTTTCCCATGATAGCTAGGCAATGTGGGAACTCAGTTTACAGCTCAACAAATCTCAAATTATAAAGCTTTAGCCTCAAATGAAACCAACAATGAATGCAAAGACTCGGAAAAACATTACTCCAGCGGGAATTAGCACGATGTTATCAGCTCACACCATACCATTCAGGCTTCTTTTAACTCCTTAATAAAAAAAGTGTTAACTATTCGTGCAGAGGTCAAGTGATGGTCGGCTTTGAAACGTTTTAAAAAGATCTTTACTTGTTGCCAAGAGGGTAAATAGAAAGTTGCTTCGAACGCATAAATGAGGGCGATTCGTAACAAAAAAAAACTCAATGAGATGTTCTTTCACACTTAGCTCAATAGGTGAAGGACTTTAGGAACTAAGTGGAAAGAAATAATTCTAAAACCTAGTATGCAGCTGGTAAAAATAATCTCGTAACCTACGGTATCCTAAAGTCATCATGCGTTATTCTAAACTCAATTTTCTACAGATTTCTTATCTGAGACCGGTATAAAGATTGTTTGTTCTTTCAATAGAATGTTGCCAATGTCTATATTGGCGGCCAAATGGAACAGGGCCTAATTTTCCGTCGCAAAATTACATGTGATCCATATCGTCCAAAGCGGTCCTCAAAAAAAGACTCATAGATTTAAACTTCAATAAAACAAAAATCTCGTGAGAAGCGGAAACTGAATACCTTATGCTTTTCGCCCGCGGGCATTTTCGCTTGTCAGGTCCACCGGACGGTGTGTAACTGGAGAGCATTCGGAATATGCATTTAAGTCAAGATCTATGGCCTGCCATCCCTCGTAAGGGGGACGACGCATCGGTTTCTTGAGGTTATCTTCCTGTTACTCATTCTCCTCACTTTTTATTCTTGTCTCCCTAACTTCTATGTATCCGCTATGCTCTTCTGTGTATGTGTCTCACGTTTTTGAGCACCTTTTATGTGTGATTTTATTCTTAAGTGTGATGAAGAAAAATTGTCCTCTGGTGCTGGTAGCTTTTCTCATTGTTTTGTATCCCGTTAGTGTGTATTTCTGTGTCGTCTTCATTTTCTTTGATCCGATTCCACGATTCGGAAAGGGAACTTTGCAACTACAGCGCATTGAAAACACTTATCCAAAGTACAGTCCCATTATAAAATCTGTGTTCGAAAAACAATCGACAGACTATCGAGGGTCTGGAAAAAAAGCAGTGTGGCGAAGTGCTGGCTGAGAAAAAGACAGCGCACGGAAAACAGGATGTACGGCCTTAAACGTACAGCAGCATACATATCAAAATATACTGAATATTCATGCGGAGCTTAAATAATCGTCGATTCTGAAAAGCAATAAATTAGCTGTTCAATACAATTTCCTACTGCAAATAATCGTCGCCGCCTCAGGAACCACATATAATACATTTGCTTTCAGTTTAATCAGCAACTGCTCTTTAACATTGCCGCCATGCCTATTTTCTGTGCCTGACCTCTGGAAATGGGCAATTTTTCAGCCTTTACGGTGTGTCGGCTATCCGAAAACAGACGATGGTATATTCCTTCATTGGTAAACCAACCCAACGTACTTAGGAAATATTTACTCGGCCATAACGTTGCGACGTCCTCGTCTTCTTTAGAGCTAGATTAACTCGAATTGATGGTCCACAGTCTTCGATAGCGGATCAACAGATCTGAAGGAGACGAAGACGACGAAACATTAAAGTGTAAAGGATGCAGCTCTCGGCGCTGACCAACCCTGAGGAATGCTCCATGCATTCGACCCCATTAAATACCGTTTGAGGTGGTTGAATGCATATCTCGCCTTTACAAAGGCGAAAGAAAGTACATTGATTATTCATATTGAGATTAAATGGAAGTTGGTTTATAACAGCATTGCAGATGGTGGTTTTTTTAATGATTGGAAGAATTCAGTAATGTAAATACGACAGAACTGTAGAAAGGACTTTCCTCTATCGCTCTATATGTATAAGTATGTGTGGCGTGCATTCTACTACTATCTAATGTGTTGCTATCTTCTATCAGGCAAATCAGTTTGTGTTGAGTCTCTCTTCCTCACCCATGTAAAACTCTGTACGACTTCTCCTTCACTAATTAACCGGAATATTTATAACAAATAAAACGGCTTTGAAGAAAAGGAAACGGCCGAAGCGTGAGCTATCGTGTGTTTATAAATGCTATAATACCAAAACATTTTGGTTGATCATTGAAGGGCAACAGTGAACTATGTTAGGCAGGATCTCTAGGATTCCACGAAGAATCTACTCTACAGCGTTGTGTGGCATTCATGATGAAGACGGAATCAGCAGCAGCTGAGACATCACTCGAATTGCTCGAAGACTGTTGTGGAGGATGAAAACGAGGAACGCGAGGCGAACGCAAAAGCACTAGGATCTGCATAGTAGACGTGATGAAGTGTCATGTGGAGTGAAAAAAATCCGGTATCTTTCATAATTGCACATCGACAGACTAACCATGTAGTCATGGCGATTAAAATGATATAAAAGCTATTTGGTAGTCAAATTGCCGGCCAACGAGCTAGCCGGAAATCGATTTTTCGTAAAGCATTAAGTGTAGAAAACTGCTTTTCTGATCGTTATTGTTCAATAGCGTGCGTTTCTGCGATTTCGCCTTCTCATTGCCAGGACGTATTTGATCTAACAATAGCCTTATTATGTTACTTTTCTATTTGCTGCCTACTACAATTTTTCACAGCGGGGTACTATGTGAAACACAACCATAATAACGCTGAGATGTTTGCGAAATTTCGGATCGCTGGCATCTGCGGTGGCGAACGAACGCGCCATTACCTTTTCCGGGGGCTAACGCGCTCATCACTTCACCATGCGAGTCCTTCGTTTTGCCTGTCTCTCAGCAAGTTTTCTATCTACCAATGCCATCAGCAATGACATTTCAAGGAAATTGACCTAGGGTGCACAAATCAGCATTAGACCCAGTTAAGTTGGGGCTGTAGATGAAATCACAATGTTAACTTTTTATTTGCTGCCTACTACACTTTTCACGGCAGCGTACTATGTGAAACACAGCCATAATGACACAGAGATTCTCAAAACTCCGCACCGCAGGTGTCCGCGGTGAACTTCCTCTCCCTAGGTCAGTCGCGTTGATGGGTGATCACGGTGAATTCTGATGGCATTTGTGGATGGAAAACTAGCTGAGAAACAGGCGAAATGGAGGGCCTGCTTGGTGTGATGGTAAACGCATAAGTCCTCTCGGAAATGGTAAGAGCGCGTTCGTTTCCCAGCGCTGACACTTGTAGTCTGGAGTTTTGCAAATATCTCAGTGTCATTATGGCAGTAGCCTTATAACTCAGTAAAAAACCTATAGTATTAATTTAAGTTTAGTATATTAATGAACGCCAATTTGTTGAAGAATGGTTGTTGGGATCTCACTCCTCTTATTTTCGTTTTTCCTCGAATAGCTGTTATATGAATATCCATAGCATCCAATGTAAAGTCCTGGAATCCACTGTGCTGAAAATGGACACGTAGTGTCTATATCGTCCTTTGGGAAGGAGCGTACGGACCCTACTGCACCCGCAATAGCGCAATTGGGTTAAGCAATTATGATTCTCATGCTAATAACCACGTAAAAATTGAGTCCAATCCCCAACAAAACTCACAAAGTACTAAGAAAATATGTTCAAGAAATAAACAACTTCATGTTTGACAATATTACGGAGAAGAAAATAATCATTTAAAAAATTGTTCGAGATATTTTTCTGTACATCGTCGGTCCTCGTAATTAACGATGAACATTCGTTGGTGACCGATACTGAGATTGTGAATGATGCCAAAGCGACCAGCAACCAACAAATCCCACATGATCTTCGTGAATTTCTCGTAACCTTCCTTTGGACCTGGATCGTGGAACTGGAAATGAGCAACGTTGGAATAAGTCATAAGATCTACACGGAGTTATTGTAATAGAGAGTAATAAGCTTTCACTCTATGGTAGCTTGCACCCAAATATCGGTATTCAAAAACATCCAATATTAATGCAAAGTTGAGAGCTCGATTTTTTGTTTTGATGTAAAATCGAAGAAGGATGAAAGGAATGCATGCACTGCAGCGGAACACATCTTGCTCCTATTCATGAGTTCGACTGCATCTCTACAAGGAAGGAACATTGGTTGCTTGACACAGCCCAGGACTACCCAAGCTCGCCTTCTTTCCGCGCTCGGAAAATTGGTAGGAGACTTGTCTAGGAGCGGCTCACTCTCTGAAATATACGCAGGAACACTTTAAGCACGGCTATTACAGGAGTCCAGAGAGAATAGACTCAACTATCGTTCAAAGATTTTCGTAGTGAAGACGAAAATCATCATGTAACAGCCAAACCCACACGCAAAACGTTCAGAGGCCTTCGTAGATGATGGGTGTGAAGAAACGAATCGGGAAATCGGAAATTTGCCGTCTTACAACTAGAGTCTTCCTACCGGACGACAACATCCCTCTCGATTATTTCGACAGATCAGTCAGGGATAACGGCTGAAGCGCCGGATCCCATAATATTCCCTGTGGTAAAAAAATAATGAAGAAGAAGACAATTTTGCACTCACTTCAACATTCATGTGACAAATGCAAATACCATTTTTAGCGAACACATTATTAATGGCTATCATCGGTATAAAGTCGTATTCCGGTCCCTCATTGTCCATTATCACATGGTCGATGAAGTTACGCTCAAGCATTATCAGGAAAAAACCCAGGACATTGATATGCTCCACGGTCACTATTCCATAACTACCTAAAGAATTACATGTAATCCGAAATAGAAAAGATTGTTATTTAAGAATAGCAGTTTCGCGTAAATCGGAAGGAACAGTGTCCTTCGAGTAGTTTAATCCCTCTAAGTAACTGGAGGTGTTATACATCGTCATTGCATCATGGATGTATTCATTCTTCAGCGGACTAGCACAAATTGAGAAGAAGTCAATATTTCCATTCAGAACCCGGTTGATAGTAAGAGCAGAACGAATGCAGAAAAAGTTGTAACTATATTTGTTGAAGATTCGGCTCTTCCTTTTCACCATCTCAAAAACTGACTTTCTTCAACCTCGGTATTGTCGATTTATTGTTACGCTGTTTGCTAGGTTATCAGGAGAGAAGTAAACGATAATCAATCAACAATCACTACTGACAACGGTCTTGTATGAAAAAACGCTGCCGGGTGAGTTAACCTCATTTTGAGCGATGATACTCTCGATTGGACTCGATACGATCACGAAAATCCACGTGGAAAAGATGAAGAACCGTGGGCAATCTACTCGAACCCATCCGGCTTTGAGGAAGGCGAAGGCGCCGAACCGTTCGCCGGATAGAATTTTTTATCGACCTCGTTTACCTTGTCATTGAAAGCGCATATTTTTTCCAATGTTTCGAAGGGTTGATCATTCCCTAAAGTATGCTCCATGCATTCGACTTCATTAGGTACCGTTGGAGGTGGTTGAATTAATATCTGGCTTTGATATTGAATATAACTAATTTGTCAACCGTGTGTAAACGACAACAATTTATACACATGTTGACTATTTTGCTACCGAGGTTAAATGGCGGTCTGTTCCAAAATTCCTTTTTCAGTCTCCGATGGAGATCGAATGAGCCACACGCGATCTTCAACTTTGACACCCCCTCCTTTAGGCTTTTATTTTCAAATTAGTTATTTTTGTGTCTTAGAAAGCACGAAAAGGTTTATTACCATTATCGAGACGAATTTGTGCTTTATGGAGTCCATTGTCGGCGCTAATAGCAAATGGAAAGAACTTTCCCACTTTACTGAAGAGCTCGGCATTGGGAATCATAACGGGATCCGCTCCGAAGAACTCGGTACCCTAAAGTACGGACCAGTGTTGGTCACGCAACGTGTTTATGTCATTACCGGAACGAACAGAGAGTTTTACTTGATCTGATGGAATTACTTTAGAGTCGAATGCTCATCTCAGAGCGTTTCCAAATCACGGCGGTAGTCTTTAACATGTTGCCATTTTTGCATCGTTGTAAACAAATAAAGAAAAGATCTTTACCTTCGGCAGCACTTCCTTGAGTTTTTCCTCTGCTCGAATATCTGCTCCGATCCCTAGTGACACGACTACGCTGGGTTTACTTGTCTGTTTGAAAACTATCGTATAGAACAAGAGAAGTGGAAAAATTCAGTGGTCGACTTGAAAATGAGAAGAATTATAATGTTGTAATAAAATCAGTTTTGCGCTTGCTCTCTTATTTTGATACTGTCTTTTTAAATACGTTATTATGCTCTTGTTGTATCACCAGTATCGATTGCCTTCTCTTTGATCGTCGAGTGACTTGAGCAGGTACCAGTAAAGACACTACTTTTCCTGTCACGTGCAAAAGTAGCCCATTGTGTTCTGCTCATTCTGGAGACGCACTGAGCATTATGTCTTTCTTCTAAGAACTTCGTGAAGAACTCTGACCATTGGACCGGTGGTATACATGCAGTACATCTGACATTCCGAGAAATCTAGTCTCTAACGGGTCTTGGCCACCGGTTGTCCTTCAAACGTAACATGCATCCGGTCCACCTCATTTTCGATATTATGGCGTGCATAGCGAAAATCAGGAAGTTTTTGGTTGTTGGTTCAAGTCAGAACTTGGAATTTCCTTCCTTATTTTCGTGATGTGAGATATTCTGGACAACTCTCTCGAATTCGCGCTCTATATATAACGTAATGCTCTTTCATCATGCTTACGTGTTGACCAGGTTTCTGACACGTTTCCTAAGACAAGGAGAATCCTAGAGTCGAAAAAGTGAGCATGGAATCGATTGCTTTTAACCAATTTCACTACATCGCTAATGATATTTAAAGCTCACCTGGTCGTTCGTCTAGGTGGTTTTTCATATCGAGTTTCCAAACCACATAAACATATCTGGAGTATTCGGAGATCTTTATTCCATTTACCGCAAGTGGGACATCAGTAAAAAATCCGTTTCTTGCAAACGTTGTTTGCTTCGAATCTAATTGAAGATCAATCTTTCCACAAGTTTTGTCGGCTTCGGCAAAATTTGATTCGCCTGATTGCTGAATGTCCTAGGAACGGCGTTATAAGCGAAGCAAAAATGATGCAGTTGCTGGCTATCGAATTTCTCTTCCGTTCTTTCCCATTCCAGTCTTCGCAAAAGGTTTTTGAGGACTGCTGTGAATATTTTTGGGCAATATTGTATCGCCTTCTCAAACCCTCTCCTTCTAGTTGGATGTTGAGGCCATTATGAAATGGTGATATCTGATTGTAAAATTGTGATATAGCTAGCAAAAAAAAAATTGTTTGGTGAGTTTGACACACTGTGTGTCTAGACCTTCCATGACCGCTTCTGTCTCAACTGAATGAAAGTATTTTCTACGTCTATGAAACTGAGTAAAGGCGGTCCTGTTGATTGTTCCCTGCTTCAGTGAGTCTTCTTATGGAATAAATATGATCTATACTGGTGAATATTTTCCAAAACACTCCTTACTTAAATTTTCCTTTTTCCAGCTTTCTGTCAATCTTGTTTACAATGGTTGATGGAGATATCATATAGGTCTTTCTTCTTTTGTAACAAGGTCATTGTTCTTTTCTATTGATTAGGAACATTGGGTTTTGATAAACAACGTGTTGAGAGCACAGCCACTGTATTGATGAGAACTGGTGGAAGGTTCTTCAGATGTTAGCGTTTTATCCTGTCTGAGTAAGGTGTCGTTCAATTCTACACCAATGAAACAGACCTCGAATTAATGGAAGGTAGAACTGGTAGCACGAAAAACTCATATTCTTTACTTTCGTAGAGGACACGCGACTACTGAAGAGACCGGACTAGTAATCATGGATGATTTCTGCCTCTCTGGGAACTGTTACTGTTCTCTCTGGGCGGTGGAGTGTGATCATGTTGACCTTGCAATAAGCGATGTCTGAAGTTTACAAATACTCTTCCCACTCTATGCTGCATCGGTAATTAGCGCCTCTCTTCTTTTCCTAGGATTTTCTTTTACCATCTTTCTGCATCATTGCAAGTTGGCAATCGCCTATGGCTTCGGCTTGTGCCATTTCACATTGGCATATTAGTTCGAGTGTTGCGTAAGACACAGGCCCCATGCCACTTGCTCAAACATTACAATGTCTACTTACTCAGAAAGTCTTCAACAAATGAGCTACTAGTAAAGATTCCTGCAGAAAATTCTTGGGTTCTGAAAGCCTTTTATTTGCTACGAACAGGCTTTTTTGACGAGGACAAGTTTCAAGTCGAATGCCAGCAAAAGAGAAATTTTAGTAGCCTTAAAATAGTCTAACGAAAAGTTTTGTTCGTACATTCTTGCTGAGTATATAGTGCTTAACCTCGTCGTTGTTCTCAAACGGCACAAGCTTTATTTTTGACACATTTGTGGTCGACGTGCAATGTGTGGTGATCGCAGCAAAAGTGTTCCAGACCTGAAGAACAAGACCTGCTTGATCACACCGTTAAGCGGCATGGTTTTCATTTATGTTCTTCAAATGATTGCCCAGGAAAAATGTGACTATAATCGCAATGATGTTGAGCTATTTGCACGCCCTAGACCAAAGGCCAGATTTGAGTGATTGCTGATGGCCACCGCTAGGTAGAAAACTGGCTGAGAGAAAGGCGAAGCAGCGAGTGTCTCAGTGGTACAGCGCGTAACACGTGAGCACCCGAAAAGGCAATCGCGAGGTCGAATCTGGGATGTGGTCTGAGTTTTGCGCATATCTTAGCATTACTGTGGTCGAAATTCACGTAATGCGTTGCCATGAAAGGAAAATAGGCAGTAAATGAAGTTCTGTGCGTTATAAATCTGACTATAATTGGTTCTAAAACGCACATATACGCTTTCATAAAACTGCATGTGAAAATATCTATTCACGCTCAGGAGCCAGTTCAATAAAAAAAAACCCGTTGACTTTTTCTGGTTCGCTTCTCATGCTGTCCGTATGTGCCATAGTGCATTGCTTCCAGTCGTTGAACGCCGCTATGACAGCTTTGTGAGCGAACTCATCTTCACACGGAACTTGCTTGCCCACTAGACGGATGAAGAGCACTACTGCCATTCCAATAATTACAGTAGTTGACAAACCATGAACAACGGAAAAATTCATCTGAATATCTTTACAGTAATCTTCGCTGCATTTAAAGATTCACATCTTCTTGGAAAAAGAAAAGCGGTCAATCTTCTTGTAAGAGGGTGTGTTGAGGATAGGTACTTCACAGACAATATTCTTTACGAAATAAGTAGTAAGCCAAGAAATTAGAAAAACCTTCGAAAATAAGGGTGGAACTTGAGCTTTTATTTAATTTTTTTTGCATTGAGGTATCGACCAAGTCCTTTGAATCTGAAGAAGATATGCAGAAAAACGTTTTCAAGCATGACAGAGGTTGAGAATGGGCACATGACATTGCATACTGAACATTTTCTTTCAGTTTTTCATAAACGAATGTATTTGCTATAAAGCTTGCACATGCTTCAATAGAAATCTGTTGTTTGAATATGTGAGAAAAAGATGAGAAACAAAAGGAATCTGTGGCGGACGGTTTTTATCGGATGACCGCGTAAGGTGGACGAGCCGCAGCGTATACCAATATATCTTTTCATCTGACCCAGCCTCGAGGAATTCTGTTTATTTTCCCAAACAAGGACGATTTCTTGTTGATTCACATCTCGGAGAGCAACGGATCTCATTCAGTCGGTAACAGCACTCACAGTGAACTCAGTAATATGAAGCAGCCAATGTGCACGAATGGCTTGTACTTAGTAGATGGCCACCTAGATTTCAATAGTTCTCATAGTTCTGCACAATTTATTATAAATTCACCTTAAAAATATCATCGTCTCACTAAGTAAATCAGATTTCTATCACATTTTGTAAGAGTGACATAAGCTACTAAGAAAAAGCGACTCCTGTAATTTTGACTTTTGATGAGTTGCAGAAATTTTAGGAAAAACGAAAAACAACGATATCTTCTCCCATAAAAGTGTCTTGTCTATCCTTTTCCCTTCCTCTCAACCTTTCCCCTCTACTGTTTCTGTGAGTGAAATTGCTGTAGGTGAAATTCAATTAAATTCTTAAGCCATAATAATAGGCTACATATCACAGAACTCTAGGAAATCTTCTAAAGCAGTACATTGTCAGTAACTGGCAGGAAATTCAATAAATGACCTTGACCCAGCCTGTTTGGCCTTATCGCCACAGTTGACACCGCCGGAGGAGAAAGTTGCCCAAGCTTTATTAACATTTTGTTGCATACTTTTTTTAATCACCCCCGATCGAGCGGAAGTTTCGATTTACACGACGAGATTGAACTGTTGAAGCATAGTAAGAGTTTATGCAAAAAATTCCTATGCTGTCTATCCCATGCGCTATCTATATTTCTGTAAATCATCAAGTAAATAGGCCGGACACCAGTAAACTTCATTCGACCTCGTCGGCTATCCAATGAGCTCCAATGCTTAACGCACGTGAAGTTATAATAATATTGCTACAGTGATGTTAACAGCGAGAAGTTACTCATCGAGTGGATAGCTAGCGAGACTCTTCTGTAGCATACGTGTACTCTCAAGTGGGTCTGTAGATGGAAATGATATTGTGGATTCTTGCTCAGCTAGTGTGAAGTATGGATACGACGAAACCCTTTTGTACAGTTGCAGATCGATGCCGAGAAAAAACAATCCTGCGACGATGGTGCTGTGATGCTGCGAAACCTTTTTATCATAATCTTAACCTTTTTATTTACTGCCTATTCTTTTTTAAAGCAGGGTATATTGCGAAATATAACTTCTATAATGCTGAGATATTTGCAAAACTCCGGACCGGAGGTGTCTGCTGTGGGGAACGAACGCGCTATTGTCCTTTTCGGGGAGTAAAGCGCTCACCACCACACCTTGCGGGTCCTTTGTTTCCTGCTTACGGGTGATTGCTGACGGCAGAGATCGATAGAACTAGCTGAAAGACAGGCGAAACGAAGGACCTGCATGGTGTGGTGGTGAACGCTTTACTCCCTGAAAAGGACAATTGCGCGTTCGTCCCCCACCGCAGACACCTCCGGTCCGGAGTTTTGCAAATATCTCAGCATTATAGAAGTTATATTTTGCAACTTTTTGTCATAGTTTTAACGCTGGATTATTACTAGCTAGCATATACTTCTAAAATAACAAAACTTCACTCCCAGCAATCTCTGAATGTCTCAGTCGAGATGGATGTACTAGCTTTAACAGATAACATCGTGCTTTTTGGGATTGTTCAAGATTGAGATAGCGCTTAATTTTCCACCGTTACGGATGTGCTAGTTTTCTGGTAATAGACGACAATTTTTTTGATAACCACGGTATTTGAGGAGTTGTGAGGTTGCTACAGGTCCTGTCAGCTTAAGAAGATCAGTTTATAAGATCATATAAATAAACATATCAACTATCTATGCCAAGTTTATAGAAAGTCGGTTTTTCGAGTTATTGTAGAGGGTAATTTGCTTCAACGCTTTATGGGTATGAATGGTTTGTGCGCTACTGCTTACTATATTATCCTATGCTCCATCTTACAAACATATTGGTCAATCTATTCGATAACTATGATTTTTTTTTTATCACGGTTAGAGTTGGAGTAAGAGTTCGTTCCCGCAGCAAAATTTGCTGATCAAGGAATTCGTTCAAAAAAACTTTCTTGTATATTTCTAAACGCGAATATAGCTTTTCTCGACCCTACTACACCTCAACATCTGGGTTAAACGAGTCATCGATCGATCCCTAGAAGTGTAAAAAAATGGTTCTTTACGCCAAAATAAGCAACTAGGAAAGGAATTACCCGCATTAGACTCTACATGAATTTGTAGAACGCACACCCACCTTTGTGTTTTAAAGACTACACACGGTTACTAAAAAATATCAAGGGCCCAAGGGCGCAAGGCGATGATTCCACCTCTCAGCCGGTCCAATCAGCTCCTTATCCTTTCAGGATGTGGGAAATCATACCAGAGTTTTCTTGATTTAGCTATTTTCTGCCAGTCCAAAAAGAAATATAGTGGAAATACAGCAAGGTCGTGTTTTCGTAAAAAAAAACTAGAGTATTTTACTCCAAGTCTTAGCAATCTTGGTAAAAAATCAGTATTTCCATTGCAATCCTTTTATGACTTTGCAAAAAGCAACACCAGCGACACTTTGAGTTGCCTTTGATTACGTAGACCTTAACAAAGAGAACAAAAAATTCAGAAAGGTAGAAATTAGTTTGGGAAGAAAAGCCCAAAATATATTAAGGATGGAACAAACTATGAAAAAGCTGCTTAATGCTTATTCCTTTTCGCGGCATGTGCACCATGCGGAATACAACCACAGGGGTGCTAAGCTATGAGCAAAACTGAGTCTCAGGAGAGCCCCGAGTCAACAACTTCTCTTGGTGGTGTTCACGTAATTGAGGCTCATTTCCGTTGACGGGTGAGTCCTGATAGTATCAGTGGAGTAAAAACGTGAAAGAACGGCAAAAAGGATTAAAATAGGAGTGAGGTTGTGATTTTGTAGAAACTTCCTTGTGAACGCTTCTCAAGACCAGTTCATGGCCGAAATAGTCTTCCGTTCACAAAATGTGAGTCCTGACAAAGATATTTCCTTAACACTGGGCTCTTTTAAAGACAAATTTCTGGTGTTTTGTACTTTGACATCTCGATAATCTAAATTCCCATCTCTTCCATCATTAGAATGCTGAAGTTTGAAAAAATTCAGAGCCTTAGTTGGGCTTCGAAGCCACAACTAGTTCTACACGGAGTTCACGTACTATCTACCACACCAACACACCCTTTATTTTTCCTACCCTACCCTTAGACATTTTTTCCTATTCGTCCCATTAATTATACTAATCTCTCGTCGGCGAGAATGACTGGTGAAAACAAGTCGGCAGTGAGCTCAGTTAAGGCGAAGCCAGGGTTTCGGTTGGTGTGGGAGTAGCACGTCGACCACTTTGAAAGGTAAACCCAGTTTTGAAACCCATCCGAGGTGCCGAGTTTTGCTCGTATCTCAAGGTCCGTGTGATTGTATTTCAGATTGTATCCTGCTATGCCATAGATTTCTCTTATAGAGAGATCGCTTTCCGGTTAGTCACGACGTGGCCGGTACGCAAGTGGCGGATGGGGGGATAATCGCAGACCAAAAGCGACTTTTTCTTCCCTGAGACGTAGGTGGATCAGGAGCATGGACCCCTGTTTGCGCCGATTCGGAAAATGCCTACCATCTGTGTTCAAGAGGGCTTATTCATGCAAGGGTGCGTGTATTTTCGTTTATGTGGATCGTATTCTACGAGTCAATTTGGGCAAAAGCAGATGATACAGGTGAGCCTGCCATGAAAAAGAGAGCAGCCAGTAAATGAGAAGCTAGTACTTTAGGCTACTTATTTATAATTTGTTCTGTTTTCACTATGCTTCGTTTTTCACCTTTAAAATTTCTATTCTTTTGGCCTTTTCGAATTAAGATCTACCTAATTATAAATAATTTAAAATGTCTATGTTATTGTTTTTTGCAGAACTCTGTCACCACTAAGACAAAACTGGTGTTCTTTACAAAAATTAAGCACGAGAAAAATGAAAGATTAGGAAGACGTGGCACGGGATACTCTAATTTTGACAAAAATGCAAGATCTCCGTGCCTACACTACATTTCATTTTAAAACCAGAAGTTTGAAAAAATAAACAGTGTGTTAGCGTTTTATTTGCTGCCTACGACAACTTTTCAAGGCAGTGTAGTGAAGTACAACTACGATGATGCGGAGATATTTGCAAAACTCCGGACGGCAGGTGCCTACGGTGGGGAGCGAACCCGCTATTACCCTTTCCAGGACCTAACGCGTTCATCAATTCACAACGTTTCATTTAGCTCATTTCCATTAATTGTCTAAGTTACCAATATCTCCACCGTACTTACGAGTCCGATTTCGCTTTCCGCTTCATTCCTTAAGAACAATACTCGTTAACTTCGAGTACTAATAGTGCGATTGCAGTATTACATGATGCAGTAAAAATTGTTAATACCACTTAAAACTGCCAACACCGTAGTGATGCTGAGATATTTGCAAAATTCCGGACCGCTGGTGTCTGCAGCGGAGAACCAACGCGCTCTTACTCT